CTCTCCTCCCCCCGCAAGCGCCGCGCGCCCGGGGCCGGCGCTCCCCTCCCCCCGCAAGCGCCGCGCGTGGTGTTGGGGACCACGGCACTAGATGGTCTGTTCCCAGAAAAGCCACTCTCATCATTTATAACAAGGCGAGGAAATAAGTCCCCTCCTCTGATTGATTAACCAGACCAACTATTTTTTCCTAGCTGAATCTTTTTTAATAGAATGGAGTGTTTGGTAGGGATGTGAAGGTTTAAGATATTAACCAATGGAGGCCGCGCGTGGTGTTGGGGACCACGGCACTAGATGGTCTGTTCCCAGAAAAGCCACTCTCATCATTTATAACAAGGCGAGGAAATAAGTCCCCTCCTCTGATTGATTAACCAGACCAACTATTTTTTCCTAGCTGAATCTTTTTTAATAGAATGGAGTGTTTGGTAGGGATGTGAAGGTTTAAGATATTAACCAATGGAGGAGCGCTGCAGAAAGGGGCTTTTCAGGCATCCCAGCCAATGCAGCCTCAGTCTTGTTTAGCCAATTAAATGGGATTTTACATCCCTGGTGTTTGGGCAAACACTGATACCCTGTTACATGTACATAATAATTTTCGATTATTATTTAGTTAAGATTATGTACATTTGAGACAAATTATGGGTTTTCATTAGGGAAATGAGAAATTAAAATTTGGGCAGGCAGTAAACTTGGGAGAAAACTTAGATGTGTCAGTAATTCTTGTCAGCTTGTCAAGAATTTTGTTCTTCCCCAGACCTGATTTCATTCATCATTGCTGCGTACAGAATCTCTGTTCTTTTATCTTTGTATGAGTGTTGAAAGGACTTGTCCTCCAAATGAGCAGCCACTGTGATGTGCGCAAGGATCTTTATTCTTCAGCTTCATGTTTGCTTCATTGTTCCTTCTAAGCAATGCAATCTGAAGGTTGTCTCCTTTCTGCAGCACATTTTAAGTTCATACTATCAGGGGTATTAGGAAAGGAAGCGGACTCTTTAGCAGTGCAAAACTTGATATTAAAATATTGTTCAAATACTATGGAATCATACTGTAAGTAGTAAAGATGGAAAAGTTGGTACTGAGATACAAGAAGCTAAGGGGAGAGTAGTGGAGTGTGACTGGAATGAGGTGCCTAACCCCAGGAGTGTTTATCTACACTGTGGGGAGGGCAATAATTTTTGCAGCAAAGCCACTTAATGAATTTTGGTATATGGTCATGGACCGGCTCCACCCTCGGAAGTGGTGGGGTTTGAGTCAGAAGGCTGGGGACTAGCCTTCCTCCAGAATTGTTTGGGGCCCGAAGCTTTGAATTAAAATCATAGTAAAGGGCTCGTGACTCACAGCTCTGGCCCAAAACCATGAGACATTTAAATAAAATCCTTCTGCCTGAGCCACTGCCTGGAAATTCGGTGGCACAGGCAGTAGGATATAAATAAAAAGCGGCCAGATGCAGTCTGCGGGCCGGATCAGAGTGTTAGGCAGGCTAGATCTAGCCCTGGGCCACATCTTGCCCAGCTCTTGTCTACACTACCAAGTTTTGTGGCCAAAAACTGCTTTATGGTGACAAATCAGAGTATACACACTGGAATGTGACTTTTGTTGGGAAAAAAAACACCCAGTTTATGCAACAAAGAACTTTCACCCCATGAGAGATTCTGCCCCCCCCCCCGTTGTTGACAAAGAGCCAGTGTAGACCCTGACAGAATTGGCTTCCACCAGTATCCTGCAATGCCTACCCTGATTGCTCTGATCAGTGTTTTGATCTCTGATGCCCTGCAGCCATGTGTGCCCCTCCCCTTTCAAAGCTCTGAAAAGTATTGGAGAGTTGAGTGTGCTGCTCAGTTTAGGGAACAAAGCACATCCTTGGACTACTCAAGTTCTGCCCTGCACTAGGAACACAGCCGCAGGCAGATTGTTGCTACAGAGGTAGGGAGGGAAGCTGCTCTGCTGATTTGACATTCATCAGAACCAAGAGCTCGCAGAGTTACACATGATGCCGCTCCTAGCAGTTAAGGAGGCTATGGGAGAGCTCTGGAAGGAATAGCAAGATATGCAACCATCAGCTCTGCCTTTCCACAATACTGCATTGTAGGATGCACGTCCCCAGTGTGGACAAGGTCTGTCAACAAAGGGAGCAAGTGTGAACACCCTGTGGTGATTTTTGTTTTGTGGACTTTTTGGTGTTGACAACTTGATAGTATAGAGAGAGCCTACGTGTTGCATAATAGCATCTCTCTACTGTTGAGCCAGTTTAGTCATGTCCCTGGGTGCTTTACCCACCACTAGAGAGCCTCTTTCTGTTTGTATCTGGGAATTAGCTCTTCCAGGTCCACACCTCTTCCTGTAGTTACATTTATTCAATCTGAGTCTTAAGCATTTGGGATGAAACTTGTCCTGCTTTGTGGCTTGACCTGTTGGCTGGGTCCCAGTAGTTTCCCCTTCCAGCGCAAGTTGTGTTCTCTGTATCTTGTGACCCCAGTGTCCCAGACATTCTTCCCTTTCACTGCCCCTTAATGGTGCCACTTCCCACAGTGTCCGGCCAGGACAAGCTAGGCCCACCATCAACACTGGGTTCTAGCCCAGAAGCTCTACAACAAGCAGTCAAGGTCTGCACAGTCCTAAATTATTGATGAATTCCTGGGCTGTTTCCTTTCTTGCCTTCTTTCACACTGAGTCTGACTGCACCCCCCCTCTCTCTATAGCCCATTCTACTGTCAGCTATTTGGCTTCATCCAGACTCTCTTGCTCCTGTCAGCTGAATGTCCTCTAATTTCTTCATTGCTCCCTGGCTCCTCCTCCAGGTGCAGCTTTATGCAGTTAATTGACCTACCATAACCCTTTGGGCTTTGTGTGGGGTGGACACACCATCAAAAACCTCTAGCATAAATAACTCTGAGTTTCACAAGGTAATGTTGGAAAATTGCAAAGACTGCAGGAAGATTAAAGATAAGCTACATGGTAGAGAAGAAAACTTCATGATTATGATTCAAGGTAATAAGCAATCCAGGAGTAATAGAGTCTGTAGAATAACATTGGTGCAGGCCTTTGGGGAATGAGGAGTACAAGTTGAACCTCTCTAATCCGGCACCTGTTGGCCCCAACCAGTCCCGAACTAGAGAATTTGCTCAACCATAAGAGATTAGTATTGTCTAGCAGTATTACCAACATTTCCACTGTTTACTGGGCTCTTTGAAGACATATAGGGGTAAAATAAAACTAAATAACAGCACAGAACACTGAAAGCCAGGACTTGTGGCTGTATACAGACTTTATAGGACTGCAGGAAACTTGGCCACACCCATGATAAATAGACATCTGGCTAACTAAAATCATGCTGGACCACAGATGTTGCTTGACCAGAAAGTACTGGACTAGAGAGGTTTAACCTCTAGTGTAGTACTTCCTCCAGAAAGGATGAATGTGATAGACATAAGGAGGCAAAGGTGACCAGCCATTTAAGTGAGTTTGCTTTTGTGCAGTTATACATCACTCACCACTGTAGTTTCTCTTTTCCTTCCGTTCTTTTTCTTTTATGTTTGTCATATATGGGTTGTTTTCCTGAAATGAACATAGTCATTTTCATGG